CCCCTCCAGAAGTTGACGCCAGATTGTACACTTCTAATGTAACCAAAGTGGGAAATTTTAATTTATATTTCAATAGGAGATCTTTGTTCCAACTTCCTCTACTTTTTGTCCTGGCCACACCCACTCTGGCCTCGGTCATTTTTGATGGGTTGTTCCTATCACACCTCTGGAAAGCTAATTTTCAAGGGCCCCACACTTAATAATGGTGCGTAGCCCTGCCATGAATTATACTAAGGTTACTGGTCTTGGGTTGAAAGTGGTGGGGTGGGAGTCAAGAGAGATGGAGAATGAGACACTCTCCCACCAGACGTTTTCCAGGCAGGACTGCAGGTCCCAGCATCCCCAGCCAACGTGGCACCTGGCTAACAATCAAGATGGTGGGGAAATGTTGGGATTGTGGCTACAACCTGTCTGGGGGGGAACCAGGTTGGGGGAGACTGTAATGGTAAGATTCAAACCAGGAATTTCTCATGTTCAGCTCCTGAACTACATCACAAAATCTGAAGAATTGCAGATTTCAAGCAATAATATTCCAATGATCACCCAAAATGGGAAAACAGATCCAAAGTAAACCCATTTCTCCCCATTCTTCTTCTCTTGTCACTGTACTCTGCAAAGTTCCTGAAGCTGCATAACTGTAAAAACCAATGGATCAGCAGAGTCCATGGATCTTTGGCATGACATGAGCCTTGGCTCCAGCAAATAATTAGGCAGAGGTGTGTACTGGGGAAGTGTTTAAAAAATCAAAATGGCAGTCACTGTGCATAAAAAATGGGGCAGGGCTTTGAGTGCACAGATTCGACTGCCATTGTAACTTTTTTGACACATGCATCCCCCGCAGACATTCCTGTAATTACAGATAAAGAAAAAAAGGCAGCCTATGACTCAGTCTAGGGATATGTTGGAAGCAAGGACAGTCTGCAAGACAGAGATACAGAGAGGCATAGTGAACAAGGTTGATGTAAATCCGATTTAGTCAATTTTCCTTTCCTTTTAATTTTCTCCTGCCTCCACTTTCTCTTGCTGACACCTTCTACACTTTGCATAAAATTGTTGACCCTGAAAAAGTTTGTCTGTAATAATTATGGGGAAAACCTCAGGCTGGGTCTTTGGCAAACCCCATGGCCAGCTGGGGAAACCCTTTAGCCCTGATCTTGTCCTTTTCCACGAAGGAATCATTTCCAGAAAATTGGTTCCTGAGATAATACTGCAGTCTGCATTTCCCCCCTTCTGAAAGGTTCATTTGGATTAAGACTCATCATCATTATTATATCACTATTAATAATAATGTCTTTAAAGGGTTTTCATTTTGTTAATTAAAAGAAAGGAAAATACAATCCCCCCCCCCCCCCAGGTCTAGCAAGCAATTAAACCTGGGGAGGGGGGTCTAGCACTTCATTTCCCTTTTTTAAAAACAAAAACAATACCCTTTAAAGACATTATTATTAATAGTAATAACAATGATGAGTCTTAATCCAAACGAATCTTTCAGAGGGGGGGAAAAAGCAGATAATCCAAATAAGAGGCTACAGTTTAGGTGCATTTATACACGGTTTATTTATGTATAAGGTTTATTTATACAAGGTTAGGTGCAAGGTTTTAAATCCTGTTATTTCACAGGCAAATACTCTATATAACTGCAGGGCTGTGTACAGGGCGTGATCCAAAAAGTCAAGATGGCGGCCATGACAGTCCAACCGAATCTATGCCCATTTTTATGTACAACACAGGGAATACTGGATGAGTTCCTTATCATGGGACACAGTTCGATTGCGTTCGTAAGAAAGATGTCCTGGAGTACTGGCATCCAATAGAAGCCACAGTGATGTCCCATGCATCATGATGACCAGTGGTGTCATCTGCATCATTTTTGGAGTGACTCATGGCAAGCCTGGCACCCCTTGCCTCTGGTGTGCATGGGTATGAGCAAGGGAGCAAGAGGGAAGAATGCCATCACGGGCATCATGATGTCATCATGTCACGTTGCGTGGGACGTCATCCTTGCTGCTGGCAAAGCTTATTCCTGGACCAGAGAGGCAAAGTTCTCTTGGTAGAAATGGTCACACTTTCAAGAGTCTATTATTATATCAAAAAAGTAGAGTTCTGTATTTCTTGTGGTGTCTGTTTCCTGAACTGGCCTATCGCTAAGGGTGACGTTAATCTTCAAAGCCTGGCACCATCTTTCCTTCCCTCCTCTTATACCAAAGAGAGTCAAGATGGGGTAATCTTGAGTTTCTTCCTCACACTTTCTTGTTTTCCCAGACTGCGTTCATGCTGTATTAATTACAGCAAACCACTTATTTTTTTCAAGGTCATCGTTGTACACCTCTATCAGAAGAGAACATGAAAAACTCTCTAAGGCACACCGGACAGCCAGTGCAATATAGTGGTGGAAGTGTTGGGTTGCGGCTGGCCAGACTAAGGTTCAAATTCTCACCCTCTGCCCATCGAGAAGACCTGTGGTTTGCTCTCTCAACTCAGTCTTTCCTTGGCTAAAGTGGAAACAGAGATCACAAAGAACCCAGTATTACCTACTCTAACAGTCTCCGGGAAGGAGAATATTTTCTTAACTCCAGACGTGTTACAAAATTACCACCATCATGGTGGTCTGCCCCCAGAAAAGTTCCTCAGAAGCCCCCAAATCAAATGTCAGGTGTCTCCCTTTCACAGTCTGTTATTGCGCTGGGGGGAGAGGGGCTCTTGCCTTTAGAACCTTCCAAATTGCTAAAGAACATTTGCATTTATGCATAATTGCGAATACCTCTCTTTACATCTGTATAATGGACTGCACTGTTTTCTTTCTGTAATGATCCCTACTCGGAAAATCAGTCTGTTATGAGTATCTAGGATAGCGTTATAACTTCCTGCATAATTAATTATGCTATAGGTTGGCTAATATTTTTGGAAGACAGGGAGTTTTGCAGCTTTAAATTAAGGGTATCCGTTGTTTCTGGACTTAAAGTCCAGATTCCTCCAAAGGTTGTAGATGGGTCTGGGTGCTGGCTCTGAACCTCTGAACCCCCTGAACCCCATCAACCCCCGGTGGATGAAGGAAAAGCACCTGGAAATGTTCAGAGGCACTCTAATTAAGGATCATGTGGCCACATACCCCACAAAGGGTGCATATTTCAGTGGCCCCTTCTCTAGTGATCTCTCTCCAGGGGTGCCTCAAGGGTGTGGTCCAAAAAGTCAAGATGGTGGTTGCAGTCTACACCTTAAAACAACAACAGCAAGAGTATGGGTTCAATCACACCATTGCAGCCACCAACTTGACTTTTTGGACCACATCTTGTGGACCCCCAGTTTGCCTCCAAGAAATTTCCACAGGCAGGGAATTCTGAATCATTGTCACTCATTTTTTTACTTTTTGCTTGTGCTCACAGGCCTCCATTTATATACTTAACCTTGTTATGTTTCATTAGGGGATTCTATAACCTAGAGATTTATAGCTTGGCCTCTGTTATTTCCCCTGCATTGTTCCATATTATTTCCATAGAAACCAAGCCCCCTGAGTGGTAATTTTCGCACTAGGCTCAATCTACCCCACTATTTCCATGATACAAACACTGTATTCTTCTAGCACAGAAAAACTAGGGCTGCTTAAGCTTTGCTGAAAAACAAGATTGTTTCTCCTTGGTGAGATAAGAGGCCCGTGTTCAGAGAGAACCAGCCACAAGACCATGATGATCTCCAAGACCATGGAGTGCAGATCCATTTGGACATCATTGGCATGAACCTATTCTGGAGGACCACAGTCTGAAATCAAAGGCACGTCTGCCCTCCAGTTCTGTCCCTGGAGGACTTAATATAGGGCTGTGGAAAAACTGGGGCGCACAGAATTCTGGAGTTGTATTGCCACATTTCCAGAAAGGTTCAGTTTGGAGAAGTCTGCTTCAAGCTTTGGCCCTGGTTAACTGTAGCAGCAGTTCTTAGATACCTGGGCATCCTGATATTCAAACTTTCCACCTTTGGGAAATCTTTACCTTCAACTTCTGTAATGAGGAATTCTTGGACATATTCCATAGAACTCCTGAATAGCATTAGGAAGTCATTCTATTACCCAGTATGATACATTTGTTAGAGAGCTGGACCAGAAGACTCAGGTTCAGGCCCATTCAGAACCTGGAAAACAATGGAGGGACTTCAGGCCAACCACTGTCCCTCAATCTAACCTGCATCACAGAGTGAAGGGTTTTTTGTTTTTTTTTGGAGTGGGGGGAAAGAGCAGGTATACTGCTTTTAGCTTCTGAAGGCCAGCAGGATCTAACTCAAAGGAGGCCCTGCCACACATACCCAAACACATTTGCAACCCAGACACATCAATACATGAGCAACGTAAGCCAAGATTCATCTTATTTCATCCTTCTACCAACTAGCATGAGACCCAGCGTGGTGCAGCGATGAAGGTGTTGGACTAGCAGAGGGGAGCCCCAGGCTCAGAGAATGCACCCTCCAGCATTCTCTTTGGGCCAGTCATTTTCAGCCCAATCTACCCTACAAGGTTGTTCCTGGGGGAAAACTGGGAGGAGGGAACACTAGACATGAGCCTTGAGCCCCTGAACAAAGAGGTGGGTTTTAATTCTAACAAGTAAATCATAACAATATGTACTTTCTTCTTTTTTATGATCATCCCTGTGGATAATTAAGAACCAAAGAAGAGCCTTGAGTCTGAATGAGCCCTTTAGTCCAACACTTTGAACTGTGTGGTACATTCAGAAACATGGACGTGAGGACAAGTCTAGAAGCACAGAAGGTTTGACTTGAAAGACCCCTTTTCCATGACCTGGGGGCCAGACTGGGGTGGTCAAAAGTCTATTCTGGAAAAAGACAATGGCAAGCCACTTCTATATTGCTGCCAAGGAAACTGCCCAGATGTGTCCAAGAAGTTTGCAGGAACTGACCCTGACTTTACCTTGACATCTGGTAGATACAGATCTGACCACCTGAGCCCACTTCTCCCAGTCCCTCTGCTGGACTCGCTGCTCTCTGCAGAGTTTTACCTGTTGTTGTTCTTCAGCTTAATATGTTCAGTTGGCTCCAAAATCTGCCCGTTCTTCAACCATGTGATCTGCGGAGAAGGCTCTCCTTGTGCTAAGCAGGTAAAGATGGCAGTGGTCCCCACAGGCCTGGCAATTGACTGCGGGTGCTGCACAAATTCTGCAGGAGCTGAAAAAGAAAACAAAATGCCAAGGAAAGAATGTTAGATGCATCTTCCTTGATGGACTTTGGCAGAGCAACTGAAAGAAATGTAATCCAGGAGGATGGTTATCCTACACCGTGAAATGAATGGGAGCTTCCAGCCCAGGAACGCTAAAATAAATATTCAAACAGACGTTTTCCTCAGGTCCCACCTGTGGTGGAGGAACAATTAACAGGGACAAGACAAGAGTCTTCTCCAAGCCCCCACCTAAACTGTAGAACTCCTTGACTCAAGAAGAACAGCATTGGTACCTTCTCTGGAGATATTCTGCTAACTGGTTAAGCTTCCTACTTAGGAAGTTATATGCTCCACAGGTTGAATACATTTTACAAGATGTAATAGGTTATTTTATTTATTTATATAACAAATTTATCACCGCCCATCTCATCAAAAAGCGACTCTAGGCGGTTTACAGAAGAGGTAAAAATCAATTAAACTACAATATAAAACAATCTTAAATAAGGAATAAATAAACAAGTCAGAAACATGGACGTGAGGACGAATCTAGAAGCACAAAAGGTTTGACTTGGAAGGGCCCTTTTATCATTCATTCCAAGAATGATAACATTGGCAAAGAGCTCGGGGAGGGTCATCAGGGTGCCAGCCAACCCCAGGATTGATTAGAGCTCTTATCACCCCATGCAAGCTGGCAGAGCCAGGTCTTAAGTCCTTTCCAGAAAGCCGGGAGGGTAGGGGCCCACTGCACCTCTGGGGGTAGAATATTCTAAAGGGAGGGGGCAATGGCAGAGAAGACTCTCCTCCTAGGCCCCACCAGCCGACATTCTCTCACTGATGGGGTCCACAACAAGCCCTCTCTGCCTGACCGGGTGGGACAGGTTGATGTGATGGGGTTATCTACATTATCTTCCTGCTTTTATTATAGAACATCTCTGTTGCATATTTTTGTCTTTTGCACTTGTCTTTGCTGTTGTTGAAAGGATTTTAATTTTGTATTGGTTTTAACCCCTTCAAATCCTGCTACACTGCACCCAGAGTATATATTCCCAGCAGGGTCACCCAAGGCGTTGAAGGTCTTCCCAGCTGCCTAGCCAAAGCAAGCAGGCCCTTCTACCAGGCAGCAGCAACTCAGGAAGATTTTATTTTATTATTTTTTAATTTTATTTGTATGCCGCCTGTTTCCCAATGACTCCGGAGGCAGATGCTGGAGGCCGACGATCATTTTAGTGTCAATGTCAAAGACACAACTACATACAGTGCAGAAGACAATGGTAATTCTCACCTGTATTTTACCAGGAAAACCCTGTGGATAGAAAGGATAGAGCGACTGACAATAGAGTGCCAAATGATGGGTCCCTCAGGTCAGATGTTAGTCGACGTGCTTCTGAGGAAGAGCTGAGAATCTTTCAGAGTACTAATGGTATTTATGAAACAGTGGGAGGTCTAGTTGCTGACACTGCCATGCAGGGGAAAAAAAATGGGAGCAAGGAACATAAGAAACATGTACATGGGAAAGCTCACCCAAATGAAAGCTGAAATGAATGAACACAATCTTCAAAGAAACAAAATGATGCCTATACACATGGACATCACCAGACAAAGCACACAAAAATTGAGTTTATTATACTGATATAAGGAGGTAGAAGATGAAAAACATGGCCCTGGGTTGACTATGGAACACATCACAAACAGCTCTTGTACAAGTTCCAATTCAAGCTAAAGCAAAGAAATAACGCCAACTATTTTCCCCAATATGATCAATTTCAAGGAGAACATCAGGAATCACTCTGAAGTTCTGAACCTCATTGATAGGGAACCAAAGGAACTATATGATGTTGTTATGGGTGAAGGTGAAAAGAATGACACCTATCCATCAAAAGGGCAGGTTATCCATCCATCCATCCATCCATCCATCCATCCATCCATCCATCCATCCATCCATCCATCCAATGTATACTTTACGCAAATGCCAAACTCTCAGGTTATAAATGTGTAAAAAAACAAATACATGAATTTAAAAGATTGCTGCAATTCCCATCAACTTCAAACAGCCTGACATAGACGGAAGATGAAGGCCAACATTCCTAGAATATGGTAGTTGTTCATCCAAGTTGGATTTTGAAAAAGCAGAGCCCATCAGGATGAAGAACGGAGGAAAAGGAAAAGAAATGCACAGATTTTTCTTCTCTCCAGTTGGTGATGATAATGTGTTGCAGCTTCATGTGGTTTCTGGGAGAAAGACCGCCTCCAGCATCAGAGATGGGAAATGGGGAAACCAGAAAGTGTTTCTGAGCATTCAGAAATGGGATATAAACAGGGCTGCTTCAGGGGGAAACCCTCTATGGCGCATTCTATGTCACCAGAAGAAACATAAGCCCTGCTTGGCATTACAGGTAGTCCTCACTTAACAACCACAATTGGGACCGGAATTTAGGTCACTAAGCAATGCGGTTGTTAAGCACATTGACCCCAGGATGCTGCAACCATCATAAGTGCAAGCTGGTTGCCAAGTGCTCAGATCGCGATCACGTGACCACGGGGGCACTGCAATGGTCATAACTTTGGGCACTGGTCATAAGTCACTTTGAATGGTCACTAAACAAATGGTTGTTAAGTGAGGACTACCTATATTACAAAGGCAAACGGATGAGAGGAATCCACTTGCAGTTACAATGGAAAGTCACATCCACAAGTCACAGGGCAAAGTTTTGCCTCATCAGAGAAGTCAGTTTGGGGAAAATGTTTATTGTTCCAGGAGCCATATAATTTCTTCCCCATAAGGATGCTTGGCTGCAATTCACTCACTCAATTGATATCATGGCATGGCCAAACATTCAGGACTTGTGGTCTAGAGCTGAATGCAAAAAATTTCAAGCTTTGCAGAGCTTGCACAAAACTAATGATTTCACTGGGGTTAGGGTTGGGCAAGAAATAAATCTTTCACTTAAATATTTTTTTTCTCTACACATCCCAAAACCTGGCCTAATCCAACAAGGTGCCTTCATAGGTTCTTAAAGAAATAGCTTAAACCTTAGCTATGTTCACGTAACATGCTTAACCTGGTTAGTGAATTTTTGCACAATATATTGAGCCAGAAGCAAACCAAGTAACCTGGATTCACGCAATGTGCTAACCCACAAAACCAACCCAGGTGAACCTTAACCAGGCTTTGCATGGGTGCATGCAGCCACTGGATTTGTAATACATCTATGGTGTGAATACAGTGACGGAGTTCTTTCCTATCCTGTCAATCATGTTCCATCTTCCAGAGAGGATCTTTTTCTAAATGAATTTTTACACTGCAGTTAACCATCTTACACTGGTCGCTGAATCAACCTTCTTCCTTAGATTCCGTGTTTGAATCTGAACCATAAACTAACAAAAGAGACCTTGTTTACATAACTGCCAAACCCACAAATATCTAACCACGGCTAACACTTACCAAGCTTAGCAAATTGCGCACTTTCAGCGGCTTGCTTTTTCCCTGATCCGGTCACCCATGTTGTGTGAATGAGGCCACTGTGAGGCATTCCACAGATGTCTCCCCACCACAGTGCAAGAAAACCATGGCGAAGAGCTCCATAGGGATAGGCCAAGATGGGTGAACAATGGAAGAAGGTAAACAGAAGGCCTTCCAGAGTTAAGCAGCTCCTTGGCAACTCCGGGACAACCAAGGAGCTACTGATACTTGCTTGGGCACTGAAGTCTTTTATTCTGAAGGAGACAGGGGAGAGATGGAACGCAAACAGCAGCCTATTGAACACTGACAAGCATGAGTGCCTCTTCAGAGACATTTGGAATCAGCGCATCAATCATGTTTCTGAAACACCAAAAAGCAGTCTGACAGCGGGTGGGGGGAAGAGGAGGCGGCAAATGGATGCTTGCACTGAGCTACTGGATCTGGACTGCAAAACTTCAGATGGCCATTAGAGGGCCAAAAAGTCTTTGCTGCCTCCTAGTGGTCACCTATATGTTTGCAGCCCGGATCTGGTAGACCTAAGGTGTACAAGGATCTTACAGCTGCAGAAAGGAACTCATACAACAGTCTGCCACAAGGGAGGGAGGAGGGAAGGGGCAAAGGAAGGAGGGAAGGAGGAAGGAAGGAATCAATGGGATGGAATAAAAATTTAGTGGCAGAGCAAATATTGTTGGGAATTCTGGCCAAAAGCTGCTTTCCCCACTGCTAACAAGCTGCCAAAACATCTCGGTGTCTTCACACTAAGCAGAGAATGGTCACATTTTGCTATTTCCCTCCATGTTCAATGCAGTGAGACAAGGATATGGGGAGAGGAAGACTTGACACTGGGAGGGGCCATCTTTTGGCACTCCCTCCTTAGTTGTGGAATGGAGCCTGGGCCGGCGGGATCAGATATGGCAGATTGATTATGGACTGTTCCAAAACTGCTCCTGAGGACAAGGAGAAGGGATAGGGGATGGAAATACTGGCAATACGGAAGGGCCCAAATGCTGGTTTCCTGCCATTTTTGATATATGTTGTAGACTTTCCTGCAAAAACTCCGCCTAAAATACTCTTACTAGAGCTTCAAAAGCAAAGAAAAACTCAAATCTCACCTGCTCTCCAAATCTAGAAAAGCTCATGCAACATGATGGTGCTCGATGCCTGTAATAAAATTTTGATTAGACATGATGTGGTCCCAGTCACTTTGCATGTTCCCCGGTTCACTGGTCCATTGTTCCCCAGGCCCAACCCAAAAAATCATCCATACTCTAGCTGTTTCTTGGAGGACAGTGAAGATGCAACTCTTCCAGATCGTGCGCTATCTTGTACCAGATGGAATAATAGGTATTGATGACTGTGTATTGCAGGCTCTTTAAATGAAATTGCATTGTCCTATATTAATCTTGTGACGAGGGACACTTTTGATCAAATTGTGGATATCTTCTTGTTTTTCTGCCAGCCTAGAAGATTCAGCAACCTATGAATTTAAATGAGGCAGAGGAGGCATGCTTGACTGTATTTAAAAGAGAAAGGGAAGAACATGGTGAG